TCGTCTGATGAGTATTTGTGCGTGTGTGTGTGTGTGCTGGTTGTATGCATGTCGGTGTATTTGTGTGTGTGTGTGTGTGTAGTAGATATATATACTTGTGAGATGTATTTGCGCATGCGTAGTCAAGGAAGATTTGCATACAGTATATATGCTTTTTTATAGTAAGCTGTTGTACTGAACACAGGGACAATGTGACTTTATGTGCTTACTTGGAAGCCAATTTTCGAGTAGAGGGTGAGCGAGCGTAGTGATCGGAATAGAAAAAAATGTCATATAAACATAGGTACGAGCAGTAGGCAGTGCCAATATCTTCAATGTCTACGTATAGGTATCAAGCATGGGCATCTATCGAGGCAACACCTGCAAATCACGATATCACCTCACACAAAGCTAATCAGTATGCATGATCTCCCTCTCTCTAGCCCATCTCTTTGATCCCACTGATGTATGTATGTTTGTATGTTTGTATGTATGTATGCGCTGACCTGGTGTCACTCTCCTGCCCACACTACACAGATGGTAGAGCCTGGACTAGAGGGCCGCTGGCAGATGCGTGGGGCAAAGTACTTGAGACCCGCTTCGTGTATGACATGGGGTGTGATCTGCCTGGATCGTGGCGTCGATGAGCCTACCGTTCGACGTCTCGGCGATTTGCTGTAAGTTTATATGTCTATCTCTGCAATGGTACACTTGTATGTACATGTTGGTATGTACTTATATATTAATGTATACACATCCTGTGTGTGGGGGGGTATGCGCGGTGGAAGGTGCGTGGGGGGGTATGCGCGGTGGAAGGTGCGTGGGGTGATATAGCCGAGGCCAAGGTTCTGCATGATCAGGGGTGTTTTGTTTTATCCTCGGTATTGATGAGCCTATTGTTCGACGTTTCGGTGACTTTTTGGTTGTTGGAAGCGGTTAGAATTTCTGTTCGTTGCGCTATCATACCCTGTGCGTGTTGATAGTTGTTGTGCGTGTATAGTAGTATGGTAGAATATACTGTGCCTTGGCTGTTGCCCTGTGCGTGTTGATAGTTGTCGTGCGTGTTGATAGTTGTCGTGCGTGTATAGTAGTATGGTAGAATATACTGTGCCTTGGCTGTTGCCCTGTGCGTGTTGATAGTTGTTGTGCGTGTTGATAGTTGTTGTGCGTGTTGATAGTTGTTGTGCGTGTATAGTAGGATGGTAGAATATGTGTGCCTTGGCTGGTGGTTGGTGAAGTTTTTACCCTCTTGTGCTTGTGGCTGAGCTGACTGCTTGTGGATGCAGACATCTTACACGCACATGGATTTGTGCATGTATCTAGATACACTCGATTACATATTCTCTATGCGCGTATTTAGAATTATATTCATGGTCGATATGGAACAAATCTATGTCACACAACTTAGCGTTGCTACTCATCTCACCATTTGCATGTGACCATACATTCAGCCTTTCTTTCTGCATCGAAACGTGTAGGCAATGACAGACTTTTGCATTCCTTTCAGAGCACAGTATAGTACATGCACACCAAGGTGTTGCATTTGTCCTAGGATGTGCTGTTATTGCTTTGAACACTTCCAACTCCAATCCCCCTAACGGGACAAAGATTAGATTCATTCCTGCATGTGTTATTACTTTCACAGACATCACTCACTCACTCACTCCTGACGTACCTTCGCTCACCGGATAATTCCAACCCAAATCAACTCATCCAGGACGAACACCATGGTCGACAAGGGCATGTGCGCCAACAGGCCCCACCACGTGCAGATGTTCTTCAACAACACGGACCAGACGCTCACAGAGGCCGTAAAACCTTTCAAGACTAAGCCCGACCTGTTCTTTGTCATCATTAAACCGGGAGATTACGGGACGGTTAAGTTGTTTGAGACCAAGTGCAAGGTGCAGACCGCGTGCATCCAGCCCAAGAACGCGAAGAAGGCCACGGGCGACCGAGGCGACCAGATGCTGGGCAATCTAGTGCTGAAAATTAACGCCAAGTTGAGTATGTGCATCGGGTGACGCGCGTGTGTAGTGTGTGTGCGTGTGTGTGCGTGTGCGTGAATATGCTTATCTCTTCATATGTGGTGCCAGTTCTATAGTAGGCATCTGTGTACACATCAACCTCAAAGTCACACATGCCACACAGTTTCTCTATACAGTTGAGTATAGTGCTACATAGTGGGTATTCGTGTATCAAACTCACACATAGCACACCTTATCTCTATACTATACAGTTGAGTATAGGCACATAGTAGGTATCTGTGTATCAAAATCACTCATAGCTCTTCTTATCTCATACAGGCGGCACCAGTCACGTAGTGGGTAGCAAGGGCGGCGCTAGCGTCACACGTCCCTGGGTGTTGGGCAATCGTACCATGCTTCTGGGCATAGACGTAACGCACCCCACAGGCATGAGTGGCGGTTCAACGTCTGTGGCGTCGATTGTGGGCTCGGTTGACAATTGCCAGTCCGTGTATGCCAGTCACATCTTCTGCCCCCAGAGAGAGACGCAGGAGATCTTGAACGCGGTATGGGGGAAAAGGGGGATACACATATGTACACACGCTTGATATTCTCACGTGCACATGCACACGAGTGCGGGTACCTAACTACACGCCTAAGGTGTAGTTCTTGGCCGTGGTCCAAAGTGTGGTTTTTGCAGAAGTGTGTGTTCACACTTACTACACTCTCGTCAAAACAGTGCAGTTGTGCATGGGACTGTAGCGACAGTCCATGGTGGCAAGCCCTGTCGTACGCTGTAACTCGCTGTGTGTGATATCGCCCTTCTCCAGGCCACACAGCGGATGCTTCCTGTGCTTGTGTGTGTGGGAGGGTATGCTAGGCGCAATAGACTGATACAAAAAGACAACCCTGATAGTTCACCCTTGCTTCTCGCTTACTCACTTACTCACTTACTCACTTACTCACTTACCGACTTACTCATTTACTCACTTGAATTTATGTTTTCTTATGGTCCTGTGCTGATAGGAGGGCGTCACAGACGCAGTCGATAAGCTGCTGAAGGAATTCTACCGACGCAATAAATGCATGCCGAATAAATTTATCATCTTCCGAGACGGTGTTTCGGAGGGCCAATTCCAGCAGATTCTGGACTGCGAGCTCAAGTTCTTCAAACAGGCGTTGGAGAGCAACGGGTTGACCGGCAAGGACGCGCAGGTATATCGATTTGTAGTTGTTCGTATCCT